TTTTCTCTACATGGCACATCACAGCCTCTTAGGAATGCTAGACAGCATTTTAGCACTATGTCTGGGGGCATTTGAAACAGGGAAATCACCAAAAACACAAAAATGCTAAAAATTTGACAATATCTTATGAAAAGGACACTTGCTTGCAGCATGAGAGCTGACCCAGGAAGACAGAGGGAGAGGCCTCATGCAGTCTTTGCCAAGAAAGTGTGTGTCCTACAACTCAATTTTTTTTTTGCCACCTGGTGCATGTCCTTGAATGGCCACCCCTGAGAGTTTTGATTTGGGGGTTACACATAAATTGTAGTGAGTGGGCAAATTTGAAAATACTAGATCTGTAAATAATGAAGATTGACTGTATCTTGTTTCTGTTAAACTTTCACTTACCACTTTTAGCATCCATTGACCTTAAATTGCTTCATATTTGGGATCCTTCGAACTCTCTTTGGTGTCCTTCTGACATGTCCCTGTCATTCTCTGAGCACTTTACTTTCTTGTTAAACAAGATTTTCCAGGCTCGTCTTGTATTTTCTGTCTCAGCTCTGAAGTTAGACATTTCTCCAAGGAGCTCTCCGTTGAGTGGAAAAGGGCCCTTAGAAACCACACACTGGGTGTTAGGTGTACTCTTTGCTCCTAGGGTGTTACAACTTTTAAGCCATGTAGTAGACAGAATAAGGAAATATGTGTGTGTACACATATTCACACACATGTATCTATCATCTGTCATTTTTATTTATCTATTGTCTATCATTATATCTATCAATCATCTTCCATCTGTCCATTGGTCTATCTGTCCATGTATCCCATGACTTCATATACCATTACCTTCAGTTCCAATCTGATATCTAACTATCCCTTGTCCATATTTGTAAACTCCCTTTTCTGGCCATTAGAAGACTGACTGCCATTAACCTTAATGGACTTACTCACTCTTGTATTTATTTATTTATTTATTTTAAAAATAAAGTCTTTTTTTTTTTTTTTAAGATTTTATTTATTTATTTATTTGTCAGAGAGAGAGAGAGAGAGAGTGCGCGCGCGCACGGGAGAACACAAGCAGACAGAGGCAGAGAGATAAGCAGGCTCCCCACTGAGCAAGGAGCCCAATGCGGGACTCGATCCCAGGACCCTGGGATCATGACCTGAGCCCAAGGCAGCGGCTTAACCAACAGAGCCACCCAGGCGTCCCGCTCTTCTTGTATTTAAACAAACTCCCAGCCCCAGCAGCTAAAGACCCAAGTCTGTGTATCTGGCCCTTTGTTCCTGCAGGGCATGTATGCTGAAGATTTAGCTCCAACAAAGGGAAGGAGGAAGGTGGAAGAAAGGAGGAAGCTAACTTAAAGTTGAATTTCAACTTTTGCTAAATTCTTCTTAAATAACACCAGGGTTTTTTTTTGGGTTTTGTTTTATTTATTTATGAAAGAGAAGAACAAATATGACATATATTTTTAGTTAGCATTGAAATTAGAGGCCTATTTTAGCACACGAAATTGGTATAAGAGAAAAATCAGTTTTCTGTAACAAGTATCTTTTTTTTTTTAAAGTTTATTTATTTAAGTAATCTCTATACCCAATGTGGGACTGGAACTCATGACCCTGAGGTCAAAAGTTACATGCCTTTCCACTCTTCTGACTGAGCTATCCAGGTGCCCCTATAACTAGTATCTTTTAAAACGTTTATTTGATACATATGTTATCTTCTTGGATTAAAAAAATTTGTTGTGTAATTTCACCAGATGTTTTAGATTCAACAATATTTAGATTTAATATACCAAATAGACTTAATTTGAGTCTCCAAATGTTGATAAAAAATCTTCTAATTTTCTAATTTTAAAATCTTATTTATTTACTTATTTAATATTTTATTTTATTTTATTTATTTTTTTTAAGATTTTATTTATTTATCTGACAGAGAGAGATCACAAGCAGGCAGAGAGGCAGGCAGAGAGAGAGAGAGAGAGAGAGAGAGAGAGAGAGGAGGAAGCAGGCTCCCTGCTGAGCAGAGAGCCCGATGTGGGGCTCGATCCCAGGACCCTGGGATCATGACCTGAGCCGAAGGCAGCGGCTTAACCCACTGAGCCACCCAGGCGCCCCTATTTTATTTTTTTTAAGTAGGCTCCACACTGTGGAGCTTGAACTCTTGACCACAAGATTAAGAGTTCCATGCTCTATCTACTGAGCCAGCCAGGCACTGCTCTCATTTTTAAATCTTAGATATGACCTTCTGATTTGCATATTTACAAGAGAATATTGGGTAATTTTATGAAGTACTTGAATTATATATTTTTTTCTGGTGTGTTTTTCCATGTTAAAAAATGAAGTATGCATCTTAATTTTTATTTTAAATGTTCATTTAAGCTTTAATGATTAAATTAAGATATAGAACATTGACGTTAATTTACATTTTAAAATGATTAGCAAATAGTCTTGACTTCCTAAGTTTTAAATTCTGGTGAATAGACTATAAATTATAGCTTTAGTAACAAATTTTGCTTAATTTTTATGAATTTATTTTACTATGTTGTAGCATAAGGTGATAGCTGTTCTTTTTTTTTTTTAAGATTTATTTATTTTAGAGAGGGAGAGAAAGAGTACACACTCAAGCAGGGGGAGGGGCAAAGGGAGAGGGAGAAGGAGAATCTTTTTAATAAATTTTTTAAAGGATTTTATTTATTTATTTTACAGATAGAAATCACAAGTAGGCAGAGAGGCAGGCAGAGAGAGGGGGAAGCAGGCTCCCCACCGAGCAGAGAGCCCCACATGGGGCCAGATCCCAGGACCCTGAGATCATGACCTGAGCCAAATGCATAGGCTTTAACCCACTGAGCCACCCAGGCGCCCTGGGAGAAGGAGAATCTTAAGCAGAGTCCCCGCTGAGCCTGGAGCTCAACCTCACGATCCCGAGGTCATGACCTAAGTCAAAAATCAAGAGGGGAATGCTTGACTGACTGAGCCACGCAGACACCCTAGATAATAACCATTTTGATAACTGCGATGACTGTACAGAAATAATGCAGCTTATCTTTTTCCATGATACATTCCAAGATATGTAAAGATCACATAAATGTTGATGAGGGAACAGAAGGCAAGCTGAGGGTAAAGCGGAAGCCAATACCCCGCGAACCACACCCCTAACCGTGGGATATATGTGACATTCCTCAGGCACTCCTGGCTGTCCTAAAGGAAAAACAGTTAACCTGTAGAGATCACAATCCTGCAAGACCCGAGACTCCCTCAGTTTATAAATGTCCTAGAGATTTATAAGGAAGAAGCTTTCTTACCAATAGCCTAACTTCCAGAGACAACTCTTTCCTGAAGAACTAACATCACCTTCCCCTCCATAAAACCGAGGGAGGCTGAGGCAGAGAGAAATGTAAATAAAGTTGAATTTCTTTTAAACCCATAAAGCTCATTGGCAAGGACATGTGATAGCAGGAGTGTGACATTCCTCCAGGGAGCTCCCAACTGTCTTACTGTGAATGACTTACTAAAAGGAAAAACAACCTTAACTTGAGAAATAGCAAAGCCTCTGGTATCCTGTGTGTCTTCTTTAATACATAAAAGTTCTTTCAAACTCTCCCTTTTCCTTATCTCCCCCAGCCCCATAGTATATAATCAGCCACCCCTCACAATCCTGGGACAGCAGCTCTTTCTGCCCACGGGTCCTGTCCCTGTGCTTTAATAAACCACCATTTTGCACCAAAGACATCTCAAGAATCCTTTCTTGGTCATTGGCTCTGGACTTCATCCCACTGAACCTCACCTATATTCCAAAACTTCATCAATGTGAGTTAATTCACATTATAAACATGCAAAAATGCACAAGAATCTCCTTTTATTCCTCTTTCCCAATCTTATTTCCACTTACAGAATTTCTTGGTGTTGTATATATTGGGAAGTATATATTCAACCACATATAAATATGTTGTTTTGGTTTGATTTTTACTTTGATATTACATATATGTATATGTATATATATTTACATACTCATGTATATATATATATTTCTGCAGCAGCTTGCTTTGTTCATTTATAAAAATATTTCTTAGAGTTCCTTTATGCCAGCACATAGAGCTCTGTATTGTTTTTAGCTACTGCATAGTATTTCATCATGGGGCTGTGCCATAATTTATTTAAACATTTTCCAGTGATGGACATCTAGTCTTTTTCCTTAAATTTTTGCCATTGTAAATAATGCTAAAAAGAAGATACCTAGGCATACATCTTGAAACATATCTATATGGCAAGTTCTGTAAAATAAATGCAAAGACTTGAAGATGAGACTATTCTCTGTTCCTTGAGAGGCAGCTGGGACGGTCCTGAGCCCTCACTTCTGGGGTCTCCTCCTTTTGGAGAGCATTTCTCTTCCTTCCCCAGTCCAAAGTCCCTGGGAGTATCTGAGCTGGTGACCTGACCCTTAAGCCCTTTTAGCTGCATCATTTCCTGTCTCGTACTGAGCTGGAAGATCAAATGATCAGAATCATGTACCAGTTCCCCTGCTGTGGCTGTCTTCAATGCGGAGTCAGGGATATGACACTTCAGAAGTGCATTTTCCTAGAGAAATGCTAGTTGAACGATGTGGGAACTATAATGTAGGACTGTACTGCAAGTTCTTTGCCCATTTAGTAGACTCTTGGGTTTTAACAAAGAATAACATTGTTTTAATCAATAAAAAATGTGAATAATTTATCTTAAGCAGTTTTTAGAACAGGAATCATAGATTGGATTATTTTTGTAAGGTTATTTGTGTACGGATATGTTTTTTTACTACTTTTTAAAATTTCCTCCTCCTAGTTAAAAAATTTTTAACAACCCCAAATCTGTTTAATAAAGGGGATGATTTCTAATCAGTCATCAGGTTGTTCTGGTTTTATTCTCTGTTCAATAGTCTTGAATATTGCTGAATGGCTATTTCCAGTTCATTTCAAAAACAATTCGATTTTATTTTATTTTCCATCCCTTATTTATAACATTCATTTGTCATTTTTGTCATTTTGTAGACCTACCAAGAGCAGCTGTCAGGATCTTAAGCAACATGACATTCCTTTTTGTGAGTTTGTCATACACAGCTGAGAGTGCCATTGTAACTGCTTTCATTACCTTCATTCCCAAGTTCATCGAGTCACAGTTTGGTATCCCAGCTTCCAATGCCAGCATCTACACTGGTAAGGCACTGCCGTTAGAGCTCCTTGAAAACATGATCATTTTTGACCACTAAACTAAAATGCAATGAGTGAAGAGGAAGTTCCTTCTAACATCAAAGTGTTAAATAAATTCATTAACAGCTACCTGCTTCCCCTCACCCCTCCCTGGCCCCCATTTTAGGAGGAGAAGGTCTTTGAATGTTTTCTTGTTGACTTGGATTGTTTTACTGTGTGACATTTTTACCAACTGTCTTTTGGAAAGGAAGAACTTTGCATAATTATGTTTTTATGGTACTCAGTTAAGAAGAAGGAAATAGGCAATGGCATTCAAATTTAGATCTGAATACATCTTTTTATGGGTGGCGTGAGTTAAGTTAAAAAAGAATTAAAAATTTTTAAATGGATAATCTGAACTATAGATCAGGTGCATGGTATCAGGATTTCCCCTTCATGAATGTAAACAGATTTTTGATTGAATTAGAGAAGACGCTTGACCTTATAAAGGAAATCTATGAATTTTGTTTTAGAAAGTGTTTTATGTCTGGGAAAATGATTTTTGGAGACTATGATACGGGTACCCATTGTATGTAGTACTCAAATCTTTTTTCATAGTAAATTGGGTGTTTTGAAATGCGGGACCCTTAATTCTCAGATATTGGTGGAATTTCCAGTGCATTATATCATTATATTTTGGATATATCCTTAGTGGTTTCAAAGATGGTCAAATGCCTGTATCTGCCCAAGGCTTAATTTATTAATAAAATATTACTTAAATAGTTAAGTGGAGACTGATGATAACTTTTCTGATGACTCTGGCTCCTACTTTATCTTCTACATTCACATTCAAACTTAGGAAGCTTGAATTGTCTGAAAATTAACAGGCAAAGTTATATTATTATTATAAAAAGAGAAGTTGAGTTGAAATATTTGGGTAATCATTTTGTTCTCTCAATTCACTTTGCACATAAAAAGACATACATTGGGGTTGTGGGCCCATGATCGCAAATATTTTCGTAAAGAGTATACTGCTTTGGATCATTGTAATGGTCACCCAAATATATGTTTTTCTCTATTTGTTTTTCAAAAATATATGTTTTCCTTATATTAAGGTGAAATTTACAAATTACTTAACAGTTTGGTTGCCAGAAAATCTGAACGACACATTTCTAGTTTAATTCTTACACTAACCCTTTGTTTGAGTGACTATTCTTGGTCAGGGAAACCAAGAGTTGTCGTGTAGCTAGATATGAAGACACACAGCTGGTAAATGTAGAGTAGTCTCAAGCATTTCCCTAACTAAGTTTCAGTATTAGTAAGTGTTATTGTCAAGAAGAGTCATAGTCAAATAAATCTGGGACTTGCTGAGTTGAAATGTTACAGAGGTGTTTGCTGTAGGACTCTTCACAACCCTTACCATGCCAGTGTGCATTGTGAAGTTCCCAGACACAGGCTCAAGGTACTGTCTTTCCCAAATTGACTTGACTGTGAAATCCAGCTTTTGAATGGCATCTCTCTTCAGGAGAGATTTTCTTCAGGACACACATCAAGAAACACTGTTGTTCCATCCTGTGTGTCCCTGTTCCAGCCAGACTAGGGGGCAGAGCTCTCTGGATCATCCCATCGCCCCCCGCCCCCCTCCACCCCCCGCCGCGCCCAAAGGTGCCATTTGGACTAAGCAACAGTACTGGGGCTGTGGTACAGAACTGAGCTAGGTAGGACTTGATGCATATTGAATCATATTGACTAAGGCCATCATTTAATTATGGTAGAGGCAGCAGCTAGACATAGACTCCTTGTGGAAAAATAGAGCAAAATGTTCAGCTGGACTGGGGTGTTTGGCCACAGAGTTCCACAGTGGTGTGGTCAAGGCAGTCGTCACTGAATATGGCCCCCTTGGCTAAGGGGGATACAGGTTTGAATAAAACTAGCTCATGGAATTTGTTCATTCTATGTTCCAACATCAGGATTAAAAAAAAACAGCATCACACAGTGCCAATTCCATTCTGGTTTTGTCATTTTAGTTTTTTTTTTTTTTTTAACATTGTCAGTGCAATTAAAAAAAAAAAGATTTTATTTATTTATTTGACGGAGAGAGAGAGAGCACAAGCACGGGGAGAGGCAGAGGGAGAGAGAGAAGCAGGCTCCCTGCAGAGCAGGGAGCCTGATGTAGGACTCGATCCCAGGACTCTAGGATCATGACCTGAGCTGAAGACAGTGGCTTAACCAACTGAGCCACCTAGGCGCCCTGTCAGTGCAATTTTTATACTATGTTTGATAGTCTCCTATGTTCTGATAAAATGCTTTTTTATTTCCAGCTCATACCTTTTCCTTTCTTTCCAAATAGATAAATAATAATCGTCAAAGATATTCAGATTGATTAAGAGTAGAAGGTTGCCTGTCATATTACAGTAAAATGAACAAGGATGATAATCTCTTTGAAAGTTCGCCTTGATTTTTTAAATTTTTATTAATTGAATCCTTTTTACCCCGTGAGCAGAGATTTGTATTTTTAAAGGACTTACTTAGTTTGATTGAGTCTTTGGTTCTCTTTCTATGCATGTAAGTGACTTGGAGAATTAAGAAATTTATCTGAACAAGAATTTTAATAAAGTTTTTTTAAAAAGATTTATTTAAGAGAGTGAGCACAAGCAGGGGGAGGGGCAAAGGGAGAGGGAGACAAGCAGACTCCCCGCTGACACTGGCTGGATCCCAGGATCCCATGATCCTGAGATCATGACCTGAGCCGAAAAGAAATCAAGAGTCAGACAGTTAACTGACTGAGCCACCCAGGTGCCCTAGAATTTTAACATAGTTTAAATTTCTCATCTGACAAAATTTTTGAGTTAAAGTTCTTTTTTTTTAATTTAAAAGGATTGTTTGAATAAATACTTTGACCCTCCATAGCCATTTGCTTGTACTGTGTCATATGATAGGGAGGAAGCTCCAAACGTATCAGAACACAGGCCTTTGCTCACTTTCTCTCCCATAGCCCTTGAGCACCAGCTCTCACAGAGCTGTGCCCTGTGTGTGTGTGAGTAGGGTGTGTGTGTGTTTGTGTGTGCATGTGTGTGTGTGTTAGACTCAAACCAGAACCATAAGTTGTTTTACAGATCTGCCCATGTTTGTATCTATGTAACCGTAAATCCAAGTTCACGTTACACCTTCCCATTTGTGGTATTTCTGCTAACCCACTTAGGGTCACATTTGTTGACCGAAATGAACTATTTGAAGGTTGATGTTTTGGAAAAGGCTGAAATGATGGCAAGAGCCCTGAAGGAGGAGGCCGAACAGCCTTGAATCCTGCCACTGCTGATTACTAGCTGTGTGACTTTTGGCAAGTCCTTTTACGTCTTACACTTCAGCTAAAACTGAAGCTTACTTGTGTCATGAGGACAATAGCTCCCCTGTCTTTATGTGTCAGTGTCGTTGTGAGGATCCAGTGAAGTAGTGAGTAGTGATTTGTTTTGAATCTTCCCTAACTTCAAATGAGCACAACAATATAAATTGAAAAACACAGCTTGATCATATATTATAGGAAAGGGAATTATCATTGAAGATGTTGCTGGTAGCCGCTTACATTTGAAGTCATGGTGCTTGAACAGGTCTGAGAATGAAACCTCTATGATAATAATGGTGATAATAAAATAGCTGCTGACTTTACTGAGTGTTTACTAAGTAGAAGACCCTACCCATGCTCTTTCATAGGGACATGACTTAATCCATGAACCAATGGCTATGCAGTAGGTGTTCTTGATTATGCCCATTTTCCAGATGAGGAAACAAAAGTCTAGGGACATGCAAATAGTTAGAGCCTGGAGGCTAGTATCTTGGAGTATATAAAAATCCATATGTGATTTTTATTGAAATATTATTATAGGTCTGTGCTATTTTATCATTTCCAGGTAGTTAAATTTTTTTTTTTTACTATTTCGGAGAAACAGTATTCTAAGTTTCAACCTCCATCATACACACACACACACACACACACACACACCACTAAACCATGGTCAAGAACACTCATTTTCAGAGCATCAGCATCTTTCAATATCACCTTTGCTTTCTTGGGGTCCTGCCCTTGTGTGTGTGGAATTATAAAGGGTTGGACGATAGTTTGTCTTTGGAGTTTGTCTTGGAGAATTCTATTTTGCTTTTCATTGGAGAATAATCAAAATACTTATTTCTTTGGTAAGGGGATTAGGTTGGGGTGTGATTTTAAAAAATGACTATCATTTTTAATGTTGTCTAATTAACCAAATATTTGCCATCTGTCTTCAGCTGCTGATTTGGGGGTTGTTTTTGATGAGGTTCAAAGCAGTACCCCTGAACTCAGACTGCAGCCTCTGGGAGTCGCTGCATACTTGGAAGCCAGAGAGACATGCACATGCTTTGATTTGCTCCATTCTTCTGCTTTTCTATACCAGTTCTTTAATTTTATAAGAATAGTTTTTAAAAATACATTTTTGTACTAATTTTGTAAATGTATACATAGATTTTTTTAAACATTAACATTAAACTTTTAAGTGCAAATAGACCATATTAAGTATGGCTACACTTGGCATCACTGCCCACTTCCAAGGTCAGGCAGTGACCTTGGACTCCACAAGGCCTGGGCAGGCACTGAACACGATGTGCTTCGGGAGAGGAGAGCAAGGTCCTTACAAACCAACATCCTGCAGCAGCTGCTAGCATCTTCTCACTTCTATACTTTTAAACAATCTTGAGATAAATAGAGGCTATTAGGACCTAAGAGTGACAATTATAGGCTCTTTGTCTTTTGGGCAGAAAGGTATTTATTACACTAAATTACATGTGTTTTCCTTTGGTGCTAATTAGAACTTTTGTAGAAGGTTATAGTGGACATTAAGTCAAGATACTCAGATTCTTTGTATTTGTTGATTAGCTAGCTAATTTAAGGCATGTTTGAGTGCCTACCTTGTGGCAGGTTCTAAGCCAGTGCACTGATGGTGATGGTTAAACGGGGTTTAATTGCTTAAGAAGGCTCAGAGGCCCCAGAGTGACAA